AGTAACAACATAAACAAACAGACCATCATATTAACAGCATAAACAAACAGACCATCATAGTAACAACATAAACAAACAGATCACCAAAGTAACAACATACACAAACAGACCATCATAGTAACAACATAAACAAACAGGTCACCAAAGTAACAACATAAACAAACAGACCATCATAGTAACAAAATAAACAAACAGATCACCAAAGTAACAACATAAACAAACATACCATCATATTAACAACATAAACATACAGATCACCATAGTAACAACATAAACAAACAGATCACCAAAGTAACAACATAAACAAACAGACCATCATAGTAACAACATAATCAAACAGACCATCATAGTAACAACATAAACATACAGACCGACATAGTAACAACGTAAACAAAAAGATCACCATAGCAACAACATAAACAAACAGACCATCATAGTAACAAAATAAACAAACAGATCACCAAAGTAACAACATAAACAAACAGATCACCAAAGTAACAACATAAACAAACAGACCATCATAGTAACAACATAATCAAACAGACCATCATAGTAACAACATAAACATACAGACCGACATAGTAACAACGTAAACAAAAAGATCACCATAGCAACAACATAAACAAACAGACCATCATAGAAACAACATAAACAAACAGACCACCATAGTAACAACATAAACAAACAGATCACCATAGTAACAACATAAACAAACAGATCACCATACTCACAAATTAATCAAAACAATCACCATAGTGACAACTTCAACAAACTGAACACCAAAGTAACAACCCAAATAAACAAACCACTATACTCACAACCTAATCAAAACATATCGCCATAACAACATCATAAACAAACAGATACCATAGTAGCAACCTTTACAAACAAATCACCATGGGAACAACCTCGACAAGCGGACTAATTAGCATAGTCATTATTTAAATAAACAAACAAAAGTATCACGTTCATTATATCATAGTTATTATATCAATAGAATTACTTTTGGAGTATTCGTGGTATTGTAGCTACAACATTCAGGTGTAATATTGTTAGTGTTAAAACTACAACTTTTATGTTTTTTTACTTTTTTATTTAAGACGGTACACAAAATGTATAAAACATAAAAAACGGACAAAAAGGAAATGATTCTGCCAAGATATTCAGGTCATTTCTCTACGCTGATTGCAATATTTTAAGGAAACATGTTGATATCAACATCAGTACAGCAGTAAGTTATACCTGTTATTCCGGTTTTATAATTTTCGCACGTGCCACAACACAAGTCCTGGTTGTAATAGCAGCCTGCCCCGGATGTTATAGCAGTACAGTCTGTTTTGTCCCCGTACTCACAGCCTAAGTATATACAAAGCAAATGGTCTAGTTGATTCATCCTTTATTGACTGATAGCTTAATTGTAAACAAAGCAACTTTTGATGATATATCACTTATATTTCATTATGTATATTGGTTACCTACCAGTGACATATTCAGCCATAGAAATAACATTTCTTTTTTTATTACTTGTATTAATAATATATAAAGTACAAGTAACATATATAGTATATATTAGTATAATGTTATATCATATATATATAACATGCTATTTATGTGTGAATAATGTCATACGGATTATCATTTCTTAGTCATGTATTTATTATCAATCACATATAATTTATATATGAATCAGCTGTTAAATATGTATTGTATTGCTATTATCTATATCATATAGGGTACATATTAGATTTCGATTAAATTTGTTTTTTAAATTTTTGTTATGTATTAATCATATTTTCGTAAATATACGTTAAATGTAAGATATATTTAATCATACACTACTTATAATTTAATATGTGCAGTTATACACACAGTTTATTAAAGTGAGTTCTGTAAATTACCGTTCCGTCCTGTCGCGATTGATTGACAGGTCTCACAACAGCTGGAGTTGTGTGTGTAACAGGACCAGGGCGTTGTTGTTCCTATACCCGCACACGTGTATCCAGTGGAAACCAACCCCTTGGAGTCGCCATATAAACAGGTACCTACGAAACGTAAAATTAAATAGATCTCATTTGTCATGATGAATAAACCCACCATTATTACAGAAATTACAACTTGTATTTCAATTACTGCTGTATCCAATTTTGTTTCCATTTTAAAAACTGATTATACATAGTTACCAAAAGAATTAAGTAACGTGAACGTTTTCGACTGATAATATCAACTTGCTTGATGAAAACTGATCGTGATCAATAATGCATGTACATATATATAACATATTGTCCATGTCAGCTGAGTGTTTACCATAAACATTTACCTCTGCGGATTCGGCCTTCTGTATCTCACCATTTCTTATTGGAAGAGACTATTGTTAATCATCTAAAATAACATTTTTGTGTGTCAAACTTAATAAGATGACACGAAAGAAATTAAAATTGATCAACTGTCCCTTTCGCAAAACTTGGGAACTATATCTTTTCTGTTCTGATTTCCCTACTGTGTCTTTATTTGGCGGTGTCGCCCTAAAGTCCTGTGTTTAAATGACCTTAGCTATTGCTGGGACATTAAAACCCAAACAAATAAAACACCAGAAATTGCTATATACTTTATATATATTAGCATATTCATTTCCATACATAATTACTTTAGATGTCGTCTATTATGACGTCATCAATATAATTTGTCTCGATGTAGCCGTAGGCTAAAGCGCACATTGATGACGTCAAAATTTAAGCATATCATTTTCCAGAACAGTTTGTAGGCTAAAATGGAAGTGATTCCATTATCAGCACAAATGTTTTTAACCTCAAGTTTTAAATTTATTTTTATAAATTATGTACTTGGATGTGTAGAGTTAAATGTTTAAATCTTGTTTGTAAGTATACATACTCGGTAGTGCAGGTGCATTACTTGAAGTCACACAGGATCCCTGTTGACACCACTGTAATGAAAAGTCAATCATATACATGTATATCATAAAATCATTTAATAAGTTGATAAATTTAGGAAATTTAAAATTCCAGATTTATATATACTACGCGAGTAAAACAACAAGAAAATAACGAAGTGTTTCCGAAACCATCAATCGAAATCGAGAAAACTACGGCACGGTATTAAAATTTGCATGGGGAGCATTTTAAAAGCATAAAGAGAATAAAGACCATGAGTTCCAGAAGGGTAAGCGTCTTCTGCGTCATCGTTAAATCCAAGAATTATCACGTCCTTATACCGAAAACAGACGTAAGTACTCATTTTTATTCAATAAATATATTTTGTGTTTTAAGTTGTTATGTTCATACCAATCGTTAGCAGTATACAAGTATACACATCCATACAATTATAGATGTTATCACCAAAGTATTTTTTTATATCAATATCATTTTAGTATCCATGCATTATTATAGTAAGACAGTTATCATTTGGTTAATAAAACTATGATTACATTTTCATTATTTAATTTTAATTTTAATTTTCACTTAAAAATATGCAATTAAAAGAAATAATATATATTTTACAATTACTGACTTGCTAATTTATCTCATCTTTGAAATATTGCACTATATGATCTCTTACCTAGGAACTATTATAAGGAATGAGGACTTTAATGTATTACACATTATAAGATCAAATAACTTATAACTGTTCTTCGAAATAAAGAAACTATTACACATACATGTAATACGATTTCTCACTTTGGTACTATCATATAAAAAAATGGAACTATAACACATAATAAGATATCACACCTTGAAACCATCATACGAAATAAGGAACTTATAAAACATAATAAGATATCATACCTTGGCACCGTTATACGAAATTAAGAAACTATTACACATAATACAATTTCTCACCTTAGAACTATTACACATAATACAATTTCTCACCTTTGAACTATTACACATAATACATTTTCTCACCTTAGAACTATTACACATAATACATTTTCTCACCTTTGAACTATTACACATAATACAATTTCTCACCTTAGAATTATTACACATAATACAATTTCTCACCTTTGAAGTATTACAGGTGGTACCATCAGCAGGTAGAACTAAGGTACATTGTGTGGATGTCACCGACTTACACCATAACCCGGTACAGATTGTCTCGAAGTCTGTGTAGAGTTGCTGAGGAAGATATTACTGAATGTCAGTATATTCAGCGCCCTATATAATTCACCGAAGAAGATTTGATAACATCTAAACGGAATAGATGATGAAGAGGTGACAACAGCTTATGGAAACAAAGTCGGTTAATAAAATAACAACAGTCCATCAGATATACGTGTGACAAATATACCACGTGAATAACGTTGAAAATTGACCGGAACATAGAAAAATGTCGATAAATATAGCATACTGTATCTTTAAGAAATACTTCTCAGATGGAAGTCGGTTGAAGGAACTCAATGCATAACCTAACGTGCTAATATTTAATTGTAGCCGGATGAAGGCATTTGTATAAACACTTTTACTATAATATTGTATATGATAGCGGACCCTTACCAAGCCAAGAAATTGTAACGACTAATTTAATTACACTATTTTCTGTTCTGCAAAATAATCGATTTAGTTTGCTATGACCAATTGTCCGTAGCCCATGAAAAGATCAAAGTTATTAAAGAGCATTGTAGAGATGCGTACATAGTGAAACATATTTCTATTGACCATCGAAAGGAAACAAAAAAAATTGTTCCAAAGACGGTCGGATTTTATACAATATGTTATATAATATACAATACAATGATAAACAGACCAAATCATTTGGGTGTACTCTCTATATAAGGATGATACTGTAGATATAAACAGGTAATTGTTATGGGCAGATGACCATTGTAGACAGGTTGTCTATTTTTAATGTAAAATGCTTTACAATATGTTTTACAATATGCAATACAATGATAAAAAGCCCAATTTATTAGGCTTTACAACACATCCTGCTCTATATAGCGGTTCAGTTGTTACCTACCAAACACATGTATGACCCTTGACCTATAGCTTCCACACATTGTTGGTTGACGTCAAACATTTGGCCAATCTCTGTCGCCAAATACGGATCTAGCTCGTTTGGATTTGTTTGTGAGTTGGTAGTTAGGAGACAGTTGTTGACGTTTCTGAAACGTAGATTCAGATCAATCGGAAACCGCCGGCACTTTCCGTATTTTATACGGAAACTGTCGACGGTTTCCGATAGGGGCTGCTACACACAAATATTGACACATTTCTCAATTCATTGTCTGGATTATCTCACTCGAGTTGGTTAATTTTCAAGTTGTAGAGACACAAAAACGTTATTTTATAATATTCATGTTATGAACGGAAAACAACTTTGTTCGACATTAATGATTCCAGTTTCCGAACAGGATTTTTTTTTTATGAAATTTGATTGCCGTTATGTGACGTCATAACTAAGGCGTCACACTGAGAATGTAATTACATGAACATGAAATATTCATCAATTCCTTGGGTATTTACCCAATGAAGCAAGAGAAGGAACGGATTGTGGTTATCAGACTTAACGCATTATTAAAACCAAAAAAGTGGATAATCTGTGTGAATAAAAAGTACAAAATAGGTGGGGTAATAAAAGGCCAATAGTGTTATTTCTCACACCTAAAGAATATCAACAAAATTTTCGGCATAAGCTGTTTACTTAATTGGTCAAAATATAATAAATTATGCTTTACATTTGATTGCAATTCTTTTTCGCAAATTTAGATTTTAACTATGCACATTTTCTAATGAAAATGATTTGCGTTTTTGTCGAAATGAGATACTGATAACACCGCTCAATGGAATATATTCTCGTTTTTTTCTCTCTTGTCGTTATCAATGTGAAGACTTTGTCAATAAGAGTGAAACGTACAATGCTACCTTATACCTGTTTAAGTTATCTAAAAGGCTATTAATCTCGATTGCAGAACAGCTCGAGAATATCCAGGGATTCCTGGCTTTATTTCCAGTCTGTGCGGAACTGGACGCAGACATGATGTTGGTATTGTCAGCGAGGCATTCATTATCGATTCCGTCATGCTTGGCTCCGAAACTGGAAATTAAAACGTATCACACTTTAATGTAAAATCTTTGCTAACAGTTCACACAACAAATCAATTTATAGCTATCCCAACCTACCAGTACAATAATCACTAGAAATAGGGAGAAATGAAGCACCTACTTTTCACGTGTTTTATGTGCAGCAAACCAAAACATTAAATAATGATAATAATGATTCTAGGTTCGTATATACCGCTTTATCACAACCTAGTTCGAAGGTCGTCTTAAAGAGATTCACAAATTAGTATCCGTGGTTATAGGGCTTTTGCAGCCAGCCAATATCTTTCTCAATTCACTGAGGAGCATACAGCCGGAGCTGCCATTTCGGCGCTCACAGCTAGCATTCAATAATTCTAGCACTGCCTAACCACGTACTCATTTAAAGATGAGAAGACTGGAACAAGCGGAGTAAAGTGTCTTGCTCAAAGATAAAACACAGTGCCGTGACGTGACTCGAACCCGAAACAACTAGGTCACGAGCCCGGCGTCCTACCACTAGACTTCCGTGCCTCCTAAGAGAGTTATTAACTGCACCTTATGAACATTCCGTCCCTTGGGGACACATCAGTAGGCTGAGAGAATGTAAATTCCACGGTAAAAGTATTTCGAAGCACGTAATATTCAGCGAAAAGGGATAGAATCCTTTATAAAGTTACAAATTTGAATACTTTCCTACCACGGGATACTTTAAAGTTAAATTAATATTTATGTGAACCCTACCAGCATGATTCACAGTCTTACAAAACTACCGTCAACATTGGAAAACGTCATCTCTCACGTGCTACCATCACTTAAAAGTTAACACTTTCAGATTTATGAAATTAAATTATATTCTTTATATTTTCATTGCTTTATAAAATTATTTTGTATTGAAACGAGGCCGATAATTGCATGGTGGTAGATACAAGTACTTGTTTTGTTTCGTTTGTTTCTGTTGTTTTTTTCGTGTTTTTTTTTTCATTTCATTATTTCAGCCAATCACAATACAGTTTCACTTGCCTATGTCCCAGTTCATGCGCAGCCGTAGTCTCCACGATGAAGTTGAATTGGTCTTCTACTATGGATTGGCTGGTGGGAGTGCACATTGCCCCCTGGTACGCGTATCCTGGAACACAAAACCCTCATTTACTTAAGGATTGAAACATTCTAAATTTTAGATATTAATTATGAAACAATGCCACGGAGAATATATTTGCAAGTAATTTTGTTTTCATATCAGCATTAATGGGAAGAATTATGCTTTTAAGCAATTACATTAACGATAAAATAGGCAATTGTGAAGCATTTTTTCTGCGGAGACAATTCAAAATAAGTTTTTTTATATGGCTACAATCTCGGTCAGGAATCAAATGTCAAGAAGATACCCCATGGAATTTTGTGTCATAATTTAATTCCAGGTCACGACATAAATGGTCTCTAATTAAAGTTCATAATCATCAAAAGACCCCAATATGTCCCGATAGGAAGAAAACATCTAAAGGTAACACGGTGTATGACGGAAGTGTATGTTTATGGCTTTTAGCTATCACAAATAAACACGTCACAAATCCCTCAGTTATCAGTCTTTATCTGATAACTTCGTACAAGTCTCACACCCCAATTCATCAGTCATTTTACAAAATTGACTAAACCTCGTTTTTAATTCATTAACATAAAAACTGAAAAAGCACCCATTTACTAGTACATTTTATTCTATACGTCACAAACCCCTGCTTACGTAGAATCAATCATTACCTATATTATCACTGTTTCCGTTCGATGTGAAGTCGTACCTGAAAAAGTAAACAAAAAGTCAATGTTGATATACAGCTGTAAAAGTATATCATTTTATATATTACAAAGCTTTATATTACAATATACCATTTATAAACTTGCTATGAAGCATTAACCCTTTCACCACTGTAGACCATAATATGGACTCATCCGTATCAATGCATGTCAGAGTCTACTGAAGTTACATAGGGGTGAAAGCGTTAGTTTGTTTGTCAGTTTCAGCAGAGACGTATTGTACGTCTCTGGTTTCAGGTTGGTCAGTGAAGACACATGGGAGACCAGACATCAATCTAAGCTACATAAGAACTTAAGGGGCATGAACGATAATAATTGCAGCAATATGTTTTTATTACCGTTATGAAAAAACATTCTAACCGTCCAAGGGGAGTAACTCCTAAGTGTGTATATTATACTTTAAAACTTTTAAGTTTGATGTCGTATACATATGTGATGTCGTTGTTATTTTAAGAGCAGATAGAGATCGTATGATCGATATCAGAGCTGTACGCATGTATTATTAATAATAATCTGACATGTTTAAACTTTGTGTTGAGTAGTTGACACTAATTGATATCCACACCCTATCATTAATCAAATGGGTCAGCGAACAATGCTAAATACTTTTGTATCTGTATGGTCAAGACATTTGTATCTGTATGGTCAATGGTCCGTAGTAATCCCAGGGCACATGTGTTACAGCGTTGACTATCAAACAACTCAAAGTGATTTTTTCAAGCACGTTTACAAAACGGACAATAAACATCACAGTGTTAAGAAAAATTGAAACGGATGAATAATTACCAAGATTATTGTAATGTATAGATTTTTTCATTTTACTAAAAGCAAGAACAAAATTTAAAAAAAGCACTTATTTTTAAGAAGGGACTCTTGAAATAAGTCGAGACTGGTATCTGGTTCAGACCACATGCATCGCAGGATATGGAATGGTGATCCCCCCCCCCCTGAAACAAATCTGGACCGCCCCTGCTATTGTTATAACCGAGTAGCCCATCGTCCTTTTTCAACAAACGACTCGATTAATTCCTATACGATTTATCCCTAGCTTTGTATGCCGTATCCCTCAATCCTTGGTGAACTGATACGGGTAAGTACCCCTCTGTCGACGATGGTTTATGTGTGATCCGACACGGAGTCGGGGTACTGATGCATGCGTGATATATATCGACCGAAGTGGAGGCGTGTACAGCTAGACTTACCTGGCGGCCCGTGGAACACTGTGAATACCGAGCAGCGAAGCGTAACAATAGACTCTTTCACATACAACTTGTGATTCTTTATTATATGGCCGCAAATTCATCCAGAGTCAATACAATGTTTAGTGTACACTGAATATCGAATTGTTGAAAAGTATCCCAAATACATGTACATGAATCAGCTTAACGATTGTCTGTTTCAAATGGCTAGTCGTGTGATATCATTTTGCTATGACATATTTCAGAGTGCATGAATAAGTGTTCTATTTTTCTTTCGTAAGTCAATATTCTACATTTACATACTTTCTTCTTTAAGCCTAAATGATTTTCACGTTTCTTCATCAAAATCTTTTTGAATACCGATTCATGTTTGGCCCAAGCCGGTCGTGTTTGTATTGAATTCAGAAAAATCACAAATATCTTTATGAAACGCTTTATCAATGGTTTTGTTCGTCGCTACAAAGTCATATCACAATTCAGCTTAGTATAATGCCCAGAAATAAATACGCATGTTGTTCTTCGCTATTGCGAATTGCTTACTTTGGCGCCAAGTGCTGTGCATGTATCAACAATCAGGACATTTCAGGCAGTCAAAGATGGTGACTTAAAAATAAGCTTTGGATATAACACTCGGTTTGTATAAAAACCTTGTTATACTGTCACTATATGTCAAGACAAATGCTGTCGTTATAAAGGGGTTAACTGATGGGAAGTATGTCGAGGAATTCTTAACAAGATATACTAAATCTGCATATAATGTTACGAACTGATCTATAAGTAGTAAACAGAGTTTATGGATATTTTTAAGTAAGAGTCCCTAAGGGTCTGGCTTCCGTATTTCCAAAGTCACCGCTAAAATTAGCGTGAGTATCTTATGTTTATGTAACCCTACCAGTTGTGTGGTAACGGCAGACAGTATTGAGTGATGGCGTTTCACGACATAAAACATGCACTCCTGATAAGAGTAAGAGAGTTACCTGCTAAAAAGCATGGCGTGGTCATGTTCCGGGATATTTCCAGCCTGATTTTCTGACTGTACCCATAGCCTGAAATTATTGATGACGGTCTTCACATTGACTGTGCCATCATCGGTCTTCACAGTCTCCGTCCATGATGAACTAGCCGCACTCTGAAAGTATAAGAGCAGACACTGTTCTAGTAGCTGTAAGGTTTCGAGTGACCCCCTCCTCGATATCCAGGGGTCACGCTCACTAATGCTCTCTACACCCCTGGAATATGTCATAGCAAGATTGAAGGCACACTGCTTGTTATTTGATTGGTGCAAGATCAACCTTACCAATCACTAGGCTGATGCATGTCCTTTGAAGATTACAGAGGAGCGACACCCGACTTTAAAGCCAGTTAGTTTTACCGTTACGAGACTGCTAGATTCTTTTGATGTACATACAGGATCAAACTGGTCTTCTCGTCTCCTTCGATTTTGCTATGACATATTCCAAGGGTGAAGAGAGCTAAAATGAACGTAACCCTGGATATAGGAAAATCACTAAGTCTATATCCTAATTGATTTATTGTTGAAAACATTTCATATCGTTACTAAACTAATCGCCAGAAATATGAACTAAAATTAAGTGATCAACTTTATCAAAGGTTATGGAACGAACTACTCTCTCTCTCTCTCTGATAATGGCCTATTCCCAGGGTGATTTAATATTAGATTACAAACGATCTTTCTTGAATATTTCCTCTATCTTAAATACCATTTTCCTTATATTATATTCTTTATTATCGAATTCAAGGCAGAAAACCAAAATAAGATCACAATTTTACTACATCTTATTGCCAGTATCGGTCATTTAGGGCTAGTCAGTGGTACTAATGGGCAAAACGTATGTCAAACGTGTTCGAAAAACCGGTAGAAATCGGAAGTGAAGAGTGTGCCAATGTAACTCTTTCTAACGATTCACAGCTACAGTGTGTACAACTTATGTCTGAAGCAACTGGAAATCTGGTGAGGAGGTTCAGTGGTTTATTAATCACACATGTTTACGTTAGGTACCTTAAACTGCAATTCTTCTTCATTGAAAGTTGTCTGTAAGGACTTGTAGTACTTACCTCAGCAATATACAGTCCAGCAAACGTCACGTCTATCGTGAAACCGGCATTCAGCAGCGACTCATATCTGGCATCAATCTGGTCAATAATTAAACAAGTGTAAAACAAAATAGTTAAACGAGTCTGTCTGTCTGTCCGACCGTCCGTAACAAACATCAAAAGACGGTTTTACAGTGATATAGAAGCATACATATAAGGTAGATCAAGGAAGAGTTTCACACAAAACATTAATTCTGAAGCAAAAACATTGAATATGTTAATTAAAATCCATCGCTTGAGATATATCTTTATGTATTGATGTTTTATCTTTTACACCAAAGTGTACATCTGTAGGTAAATTGCCTCGTAAGTGAACGATTAAAAACGCTATAGATTTCGTCCTTAGAGATCTTATGAAAGGTGAACAAAGTAGAGCAAGGAAGCCACTAGGGCCCATCTTGTGACAGGTAAACAAAGTAGAGTAAGGAAGCCACTAGGGCCCATCTTATGAAAGGTAAACAAACTAGAGCAAGGAAGCCACTAGGGTCCATCTTATGACAGGTAAACAAAGAACAGTAAGGACGCCACTAGGGCCAATCTTATGACAGGTAAACAAAGTAGACCAATGAAGTCACTAGGGCCCATCTTATGACAGGTAAACAAAGTAGAGTAAGGAAGCCACTAGGGTCCATATTATGACAGGTAAACAAAGTAGAGCAAGGAAGCCACTAGGGACCATATTATGACAGGTAAACAAAGTAGAGCAAGGAAGCCACTAGGGTCCATCTTATGACAGGTAAACAAAGTAGAGCAAGGAAGCCACTAGGGTCCATATTATGACAGGTAAACAAAGTAGAGCAAGGAATCCACTAAGGCCCATCTTATGACAGGTAAACAAAGTAGAGTAAGAACGCCACTAGGGTCCATCTAATGACAGGTAAACAAAGTAGAGCAAGGAAGCCACTAGGGTCCATCTTATGAAAGGTAAACAAAGTAGAGCAAGGAAGCCACAAGGGCCGAACTTATGACAGGTAAACAAAGTAGAGTAAGAACGCCACTAGGGCCCATCTTATGACAGGTAAACAAACTAGAGCAAGGAAGCCACTAGGGTCCATCTTATGACAGGTAAACAAAGTAGAGCAAGGACGCCACTAGGGCCGAACTTATGACAGGTAAACAAAGAACAGTAAGGACGCCACTAGGGCCCATCTTATGACAGGTAAACAAAGTAGAGTAAGAACGCCACTAGGGCCCATCTTATGACAGGTAGACAAAGTAGAGCAAGGAAGCCACTAGGGCCCATCTTATGACAGGTAAACAAAGTAGAGTAAGGACGCCACAAGGGCCCATCTTATGACAGGTAAACAAAGTAGAGTAAGAACGCCACTAGGGCCCATCTTATGACAGGTAGACACAGTAGAGCAAGGAAGCCACTAGGGTCCATCTTATGACAGGTAAACAAAGTAGAGCAAGGAAGCCACTAGGGCCCATCTTATGACAGGTAAACAAAGAAGAGCAAGGAAGCCACTAGGGCCCATCTTATGACAGGTAAACAAAGTAGAGCAAGGAAGCCACTAGGGCCCATCTTATGACAGGTAAACAAAGAAGAGCAAGGAAGCCACTAGGGCCCATCTTATGACAGGTAGACAAAGTAGAGCAAGGAAGCCACTAGGGCCCATCTTATGACAGGTAAACAAAGTAGAGAAAGGAAGCCACTAGGGCCCATCTTATGACAGGTAAACAAAGTAGAGCAAGGAAGCCACCAGGGTCCATCTTATGACAGGTAAACAAAGTAGAATAAGGACGCCACTAGGGTCCATCTAATGACAGATAAATAAAGTAGAATAAGGACGCCACTAGGGTCCATCTTATGACAGGTAAAAAAACTAGAGCAAGGAAGCCACTAGGGCCCATCTTATGACAGGTAGACAAAGTAGAGCAAGGAAGCCACTAGGGCCCATCTTATGACAGGTAAACAAAGTAGAGTAAGGACGCCACTAGGGTCCATTTTATGACAGATAAAGTAGAATAAGGACGCCACTAGGGTCCATCTAATGACAGGTAAACAAAGTAGAGCAAGGACGCCACCAGGGTCCATCTTATGACAGGTAAACAAAGTAGAATAAGGACGCCACTAGGGTCCATTTTATGACGGAGAAAGTAGAATAAGGACGCCACAAGGGGCCATCTAATGACAGGTAAACAAAGTAGAGCACTATGGGGGTCCATCTAATGACAGGTAAACAAAGAAGAGTAAGGAAGCCACTAGGGCCCATCTTATGACAGGTAAACAAAGTAGGGTAAGGACACCACTAGGGTCCATCTTATGACAGGTAAACAAAGGAGAGCAAGGAAGCCACTAGGGCCCATCTTAGGACAGGTAAACAAAGTAGAGCACTATGGGGGTGCATCTAATGACAGGTAAACAAAGTAGATTAAGGACGCCACTAGGGTCCATCTTATGACAGGTAAACAAAGGAGAGTAAGGACGCCACTAGGGTCCATCTAATTACAGGTAAAGTAGAGTAAGGACGCCACTAGGGGCCATCTAATGACAGGTAAACAAAGAAGAGCAAGGAAGCCAGTAGGGCCCATCTTATGACAGGGAAACAAAGTAGAGTAAGGACGCCACTAGGGCCCATCTTATGAAAGGTAAACAAACTAGAGCAAGAAAGCCACTAGGGTCCATCTTATGACAGGGAAACAAAGTAGAGTAAGGACGCCACTAGGGTCCATTATTATGACAGGTAAACAAAGTAGGGTAAGGACACCACTAGGGTCCATCTTATGACAGGGAAACAAAGTAGAGTAAGGACGCCACTAGGGACCATCTAATGACAGGTAAACAAAGGAGAGTAAGGACGCCACTAGGGTCCATTATTATGACAGGTAAACAAAGTAGATTAAGGACGCCACTAGGGTCCATTATTATGACAGGTAAACAAAGTAGATTAAGGACGCCACTAGGGTCCATCTAATTACAGGTAAAGTAGAGTAAGGACGCCACTAGGGGCCATCTTATGACAGGTAAACAAACTAGAGCAAGAAAGCCACTAGGGTCCATCTTATGACAGGGAAACAAAGTAGAATAAGGACGCCACTAGGGTCCATCTAATGACAGGTAAAGTAGAGTAAGGACGCCACTAGGGTCCATCTTATGACAGGTAAACAAAGTAGAGCACTATGGAACAACTTGATATTCACTTTTACCTATTAATACATACACGAGACATCTATCTAGTTATAACTTGATGATAAATTATGATTTCAAATAAGTGTAATTCGTCTGTTAAAGTAAAATTTCTGATATGGTTATTACAAGAGGCCCAGGGGGACTGTATCGCTCACCTGAATATTTAAGCAGTCATAGCAAATTCATTTTTTATTCTAATTTAATATTATATTGCACTACAAATATTTCCCTCGCAAACTTTGTCGGCTCCATCTATTGAAACTACCAGCCTTATTTTATTATAAGATTCTATGCTTTTTGGTTCTTCTTCAGAAGTTGTTTGACATATTTTTCCTTGTGACCTTGTAAGTAGGTCAATGTAATTTTCCTCCTCAAACTTTGTTAGCCATATCCCAAGAAGCTACCAGCCAAATCTTATGTATCCTTTCCTTTTGGTTCTTCACAACAAATCCTTTAAAATGTGACCTTTAAAGTAGATTGAGGGCATTTTCATTTGCAAACGTTGGTGAGCTCTATCCCAGCCACCAGCCAAATATTATAAGTTTATGCCTTTCGATTATTCAGAACAAGTCGTTTGATTTTTTTGCCATATTCGACACCTGTGACCTTGAAAGTAGGTCAAGGTCCTTTTCATTCTCAAAATTTCTGGACAAATGATTTTTTTTAAAGAATAGCTGATGACAACAGATATATGGACGGACAAACGAAGTGCACGATGACAATGAACTCCTGAGTGAGCTTATGGTAGCCAGATGAGCATTTGTATATCATACCCCATTGATATGGAATCCAACAAACGTTCTTATTTTGTTTATTGCATCATTTCTTTTCCCCTGATTCGTCGTCTGTGTACTGGCATCGTACCAACTGAAAGTAGAACGGAAGCATAAGTTATATATAATGATAAAGTTTCAATGTCACTCACGGAAGACCTTGACCTTACTGCATTAGCATACTGAGGTATCGAGATAACTTTTAAGGATTCCCGGACCACTGCCACAACTAGTACTGTAACCAAGTATATCTTTGACTCTAAGTGACCACTATAGATCCTTAAATGTAGGTGATCACTGTTTTACATTAACGCTAGATGACCGCTTTATATTCTTTAATCCAAGTAACCACTTTATAACTTCACCTCTATGAGACCACTATACAACATTAACGTAACCACACTTACAACTTGTAAACAGAGTAGTCGGTGACCACAAACAGTTCTACTGTATATCTTCCTGTTGCTCGTTTACTCCGTCCCGTACTGCTGTATGGTGATGACCTGCCCCGCAAGGGTTCTGCACAATTAATTAATACAATATATGACTTTTAGATAATGCAGTTCCGTGGAATTAAGACCTTGCCTCTGGACGTAGAGTCTCAATAAATATAAATATAACATTTTTGAATAAGTAGCTCTTTGTATCTTTGCTATCATTTTAAAAATTAACTTCACATTAAAAAAAAACCCATTAGTTTTTCACCTTTCTCTTGCTATCCTGCTTTAGATATAATAATACTAGAATTAATCATTCTCTTATTTGTATAAATATTTTTTCTTGGGTTTCTTCTTTCTGTCTTTTTCTTACAAGTCCCAGTTCATCAATGTCTGGTATTATTTTTCTAAGATTAATATTTGATAGTCTCTTTTAAAAATAGTTATGACTTTTACCCCCCAAATCTTTATACCGGTAAAAAAAAATGAGGAAAAGCTGGCAGTCAATTTCAAATTCAATTTCTATGAACCTGAACAGCACTGATATATTTCTAAGACAACATTCTATAACGTTTTGAACTACTTCTCCTTATGTAAAAAAAATCATTATGTTCCAACAGTTCTTTCTCCACCTGAATGTATTAAACGGAACAACAATAACAGTAAATGAGTGGTCGAAACTATGGTCTACCCACAAACTAATACATAAATTCTAAATTGTAAATTTTCCTTAACGGAAAAATACAAAAGTTTCTTTACTTTCTTTTTTCTCGATGTAGCTGTCTGAAATATTAACTTACATGCAGTTTTCAATACCCTCTTTAACTTTCTCTATTTCTCATTTGTTATCAAAGATCTTTTATATTTCTTGTCTGAATACAACTTCACTGAAATACCCACAGATACTTCTCATTCCAAAAGTCACCGATAGCGTCAGTTAAAATATCGTAAACACTAGTTGTGTCTGTGTTTGGGTCACACAGTGTCATTAAAGTAACTTTTGAATCTTCTTTTAAATATCCACAAATAAGAAAGACTATTTACCAGCATTGCTACATCTACTTAGCATTTGACTCAGAGATTATAATTCTTTTCTGATAGTAATCTGCTTTAAATCCTTATACTATGTGACTTGAAAATTAAATATTTTTCCTTTAGTTCTGTCCCCCGACCTGACAGTTTGCAGAAAGAATAAATAATCCTCTATCATATTACGTAACCACGTAGCAGCAACACATATGTATTATCTAACCCAGACAGGTATTATAGAAGTAAAGAAAGTTTAACCTGGGGGTTATTGCCCGTCAGGTTTAGGGTATATTTAAATGTTAGAGCTAGGGTAAAGTGTATGATGAATTCCGTCTACTTTAGATGGTTGTTTTGACATGGTGAATAATGACCTTTTATGACTAGGGATATCGTCTGTAGATTATATAAGATACGTACCTGTATTACTATGGTCATTGACAAATTGAAGAGGCACTCGGGGTTGATAAATATTGTATGGACGGGTTGTATTGGCAAGATCAGAATAATTTGAACTAGAAACTGTTTCTGACTCTAAAATGTAAAACTCGTCCTCAATATAGAACGTTCCAAACTGTAACAAAAATAGAGTCGAGTAAATTGGTAATATTGATGCAATTATAACTGCAAAAAATCCACAACCTACGAGAAAATAAAACGAAAAGAAAGAGAATTAAAACAAACAACAACAAAAATAGAAAGAAAATAAATAACAATAATAATCAATAGCGATAACGTAGTAAAAAGGTACATTAGGAATGTCATTTTCTTAGGTTTGTCATAATTTGAAAGAATAGATTACATAATCATTGAATCTTATACAAAAAATCACCCATCTAGTTCAGTACAAGTTTAACGTACAGGTAATTGAATGTAAGAATGAACTCCATTTATGTCGGCTACTTACTAGCTCTAATTCAGTACAGGTCAATCCATCGATGTTGTTCAAACATTCTACATGAAAAGACGCCTTATTGTCTACATCCTGATAAAAGGCACTTGTTATCTGAAATAGATACGCATGTTTTTTTTAATACGACAAATATCCCTCAACATCTAAGAACGTAAGTATTTGTCTCATGGGTGAAAAAGGTGAAAGTTTCATGAATTCGACACTATACTACTAACAAACGGCACTGCATGTATTTGCACTTCTTTTGCACACGACACACTGTACCTATTTACATAAAACATTGTACGTTTTTACTGAATTCATTGTTTAAATGTTCCCAGTGCGTGTATCGCTTAACTTCTTTCGGAGACCGATTATCAGTACATGTGAGTCAAATAAAAAAAGTTATATATATCTTACTTTTGTGATTCGTTTTCTTTCTTTTAATCGATTGATGAAACTCATCAGCTCCAACTGAAGCTTCAGAGTCTTTTAAGCATTGTAATATTAAATGAAAACTCGTGTTGTTCATTCACTTGAGAAAATATTGGAAGTAAGGTTATTATTCAAAACGGGGTTATGTAACAAACGATAGCATGATCAACGACAAAAGTCCATACCGGAACATCAGCCAAATGGCGCGTTATTCCAGTAGCATTGTGATAATATATTGGCACATCTAAGGAAAGTTTAGAATTTTTATAAAGGCGCAGATCGACGTTTTTGTCATCGACACTGAAATGTGCATTCAGTGTGTTTGGAAGCCTATCTGTTGTCCTTCTCTTTCCGTATGCTGACCTCCGTTCTCGGACTTCGGTTTTTGCATAAATGATGTTGGTGAAATGAACATCAGTTCTTTCTGTAAACAAAGGAAATTGACAATGGTTATCTCGTGAGTAACAGTGAATTGTCCTATTATCTATTACTGTCCTATTATTATTTTTCGAGTAAGACTGGGTCAATTGTGGATTACAAGAATGGCTTTGTTGAGTAAGTAAAACCTGTAACGGGATTGAAAAAGATCTTATTACGATTCTAAAGGTCCATTAATAGATCCTGTATTTGAAACCCTTTTATAATCTGGGGGAAATGCTATTTCACGAAAAGCAGTTTCGACTATGTTAAATCAAAAGCCAAACTGAGAGCATGACTTGTTTCTCCTAATGTACAAGAGTATCAAATGACCCAGATATACTCACAAACAAGACATTGCAACCAATTCTCACGTACAATGCACAGTCAATACAGTTGTAGCAAATGATAAATCCATGTCGTCACCAATAATAACTCGAACAGGTAATATCAATGTCACTTTTACAATGTACACATATAATGTCAATAACTGCAATATCAGATTCTGCTTGATAAATCTTTGACTAAAAAGATGATTAATTACAAGTCTTCAAAAAAACGAAATGCTTAATTTAGGGCTTCCTAAAATAGAAATACACTTAAGTTCTATCACAGCAAAAACTATTAAAAAACATCAGAATAATGATATCAATGAAGAATTTCGAAACAATTAGGAATTTCAACTTTTATATTTGAGGTGGGTCTCATGGAGTGTCATGTTTTAGTTTTGATTTTAAAAATATTTTTCCATCCGTTAAACGTTATATAGGCAGGTTACTTATTTCATTATTAAATTCCTAATTAGTATCATTTATCTTGTGAGCGTATATACAATGATCTTACGTGATTTTTATATTGCAGGTGTAAACGTTTGGCTATATAAATACTCAAAGAAAATTGGAAATTTAATGACGAAATGATTTAAAATGCTTTGAAGCAAAGGCACTCCCAAAGGCACTAAGTTTCGACTACTAATGACAACTTGCATAAAGATATTTCGATGAAAAACTTTATAGCAAAATGGCAATCATTTAGGATGTGAATTTCTCTAAATTTCAAAATATTTTATTTCAGGTTTCTTGGTTACTGTTTCATAGATCGGCCCACAAATCACGATAAAGATGAGTTTTATTCCAACTGAAATTCTTTTAATCAAGATATGAAATTCGCTATTGAAGGTAGTGTTAAAACTGTTTGCGGTGCTCTAGTTAAGGTAAAAAAAATAAAAAATCAAAGGATTGTAAAGCTTACCGATTCACAAAATTACCATTTTCTTTCTAGTAATGCAAAACCCACCAAGTACATTTAATGAAGTTTCTAGATTAATTGCTACACTGTTCTAAGTGATCCTGATGACAGAAGAAACAGGTTACTGGACGCTACACTGTTATAAGTGATCCGGATGACAGTAGAAACAGGTTACTGGACACTACTAACCTGGCCACTACACTGTTCTAAGTGATCCGGATGACAGTAGAAACAGGTAACTTGACACTACTAACCTGGCCACTACACTGTTTTAAGTGATCCGGATGACAGTAGAAACAGGTTACTGGACCCTACTAACCTGGCCACTACGCTGTTTTAAGTGATCCGGATGACAGTAGAACCAGGTAACTTGACACTACTAACCTGGCCACTCCACTGTTTTAAGTGATCCGGATGACAGTAGAACCAGGTAACTTGACACTACTACCCTGGCCACTACACTGTTCCAAGTGATCCGAATGACAGTAGAAACAGGTTACTTGACACTACTAACCTGGCCACTTCAATGTTTTAAGTGATCCGGATGACAGAAGAAACAGGTTACTGGACGTTACACTGTTCTAAGTGATCGGGATGACAGTAGAAACAGGTTACTGGACACTACTAACCTGGCCACTACACTGTTCTAAGTGATCCGAATGACAGTAGAAACAGGTTACTGGACGCTATACTGTTATAAGTGATCCGGATGACAGTAGAAACAGGTTACTGGACCCTACACTGTTCTAAGTGATCGGGATGACAGTAGAAACAGGTTGCTGGACGCATTTTTATTTTGGTGGCTCGTAGTTATCAGGTTAAGCTTATATCGCACAGTATTCATAAGCTAAGAATAGGGGACCTTTGATTTTAAAGTAGATTAATTGCTACACTGTTCTAAGTGATCGGGATGACAGTAGAAACAGGTTTCTGGGCACTACTAACCTGGCCACTTCAATGTTTTAAGTGATCCGGATGACAGTGGAAACAGGTTACTGGACGCTATATTGTTCTAAGGGATCCGGATGACAGTAGAAACAGGTTGCTGGACGCTACACTGTGCTAAGTGATCCGGATGACAGAAGAAAACGATTACTGGACGCTACACTGTTCTAAGTAATCCGGATGACAGTAGAAACGGGTTACTGGACGCTACACTGTTTTAAGTGATCCGGATGACAGTGGAAACAGGTTACTGGACACCACTAACCTGGCCACTACACTGTTCTAATTGATCCGGATGACAGTAGAATCAGGTTACTGGACGCTACATTGTTCTAAGGGATCCGGATGACAGTAGAAACGGGTTACTGGACGCTACAGTGTTCTAAGTGATCCGGATGATAGTAGAAACAGGTTAATGGACGCTACACTGTTCTAAGTAATCCGGATGACAGTAGAAACAGGGTACTGGACGCTATACTGTTATAAGTGATCCGGGTGACAGTAGAAACAGGTTACTTGACACTACTAACCTGGCCACTTCAATGTTTTAAGTGATCCGGATGACAGAAGAAAACGATTACTGGACGCTACACTGTTCTAAGTGATCCGGATGACAGTAGAAACAGGTTACTGGACGCATTTTTATTTTGGTGGCTCGTAGTTATCAGGTTGAGCTTATATCGCACAGTATTCATAAGCTAAGAGTAGGGGACCTTTGATTTTAAAGCAGAAATGCAACGATAAATGTAATGTCCTACCGTTTGTTTACTTAAAAACAATGAAACTCTAATATCTTTCCTGTTGATATTATTATTAGAAATTTAAGTAAGTACTTGATTCAGGCAACTGTTAAGAGAAGTCGTATATTATGAAATATAAGCTGTATCAAAGTCTTGCTATAAACGTTTGTTACTGTATAATGCGATTGAGATCTATGTCTTTTACTTCACAATGAGTTATAATCTCATTTCATTATATAATATATAGTACTCGTTCTACCTTCATGTTGAGGTTGTATGATTGAATTTGAAGTTTTGTGATTTCCTAGAAATTTAGTTAGATTAAGGCTTTATTTGTATTATTTCATAAACAACTAAATTATGCTTCATAAGAGTCCGCTAAGTTACCAAACTTATGACGATTTCATAATTTGTTATTATTATGTATGGAATTGAATCTATTACATATGTGCCATTGTACAAGATATTTGTAAAGTATTTATCTATATGTATATTTCTGTACACCTATATGCAATGTGCATTTGGTAATAAATTGAATTGAAAAAAAAATGAATTGAAAAGCTCTGGCAATAATTAAATGGAATAATGGTTTAGGTAAATTCTTAGTGAAAAGAAAATTATAACCAGTAAAGTCAATCTGAAGTTTGATAATGCTTTTGTGAACTTCTTAGTTAAATGGTGAAAATAAATTTTGTGACAAAATATTATGAACCATAATGTGGGGTTTGATATTTAATAGTTGAAGGAATAGAATTTGCTTTCAAATATGGACTTAAATTTTAAAGTAAAATCCAATATGAATTGCAGTCTGTCGATAATGCAAAGATTTGTGCTTATTGTTCCTAATTTTACATGTGACAAATGAGGCTTCCCAAAAACAACAGACAAAACGTGACCTTCCTTGATATATGTACTGTTGATAAACACACATTCTGTGCCAGTGATAACTTTCATGTGATATCTATATGATTTATTTTGAAGCTTTAGAAAAATTGTGCAAAAAGAGAGTCAAATGAGTAAGGGTAATCGTTATATTAGAATCAGTTTTAAGTCAAGAGGCAAAGATTCAAGAAGCTTCATTTAACGTCGCATATACATGTAACATAATAACATTAGCACTGTAGTGCTATTCTTGCGACAAAACATATATAAAATTTTACAAGGATCACAGTACTTATGAATAAATATATATATATGTATAAAAAAACCCAAGACAACAATTCAATTTAGATATGCTACAAATATACAGTAGAACATAAGAAATCACAGTTTATGCAAAATAAAAAATTAGAAATTTTAAAAGAAACAATTTAATAGTGAACACTTGAATGTCACACACGTGTTACAAAAGACAAGTTAAGACACTATCATAGTGTAATGTACATATATGCTAATGTAGCAAAGTGTAAAAAATTACAGGATATACACTAATATAGTGTGAATTAAAAAGAGACAATGTAGTCATAGATTGAAACAGAGAGCTATAATTATGATATTGTAAAAAGTAATGATATTTTAAATAATGGAACTCAAGTCTAAAATAAATATCAAATATATAATAAGTATAGTACTGAAGTATATTAAATTAAATAACAAAAACAATAGTGAAGTTAGTAACTCTTCTTTGAATTGTTTTAAAGTGAATGTATTTGAGAAGTTTGTTGCTATACCTATTATGAGAGATAAAACCTAGGCGAAAGATTGTATGTGTGTATGGATGGTTAGGTTACAAAATAAGGTTATGCCATGCCTGGAGCTGATTATCATCCTTCGTGTTGTAGCAGATACTGCAACATCGTTATTGATACTCCTTGAGTTGTAATATCAAGGTAATTGCTTGTTTTTATTTTAATTTTATATTGGTATTTTATATTGTAATGTCATAATGTATTAATAATCTTGAAGTCGCTATTAACTGTGTTTTGCTATCGCCCTGTCAACAAGATTTGTTTGCATGATAATACGTATTCATACCTAGAACCACTGGAGAGGTGAAATCTGCATTGAGCTGCTCGAGTATCATTTTTTTTGTTTATAACATCTAACGATATTTTTTCTTTTAAAAGTTTTTTTTTCTTAATCTCATATATGTTAATTTACATATTAACACATACTTCTTAATCATAGATGCATATTCTCATCATGTTCCTTGTATCATTTCCTTTGGGACAAGATAACACTTACGTAATCATATACATATCATTTATATTATTTTCTTTTTTTTGAAACACTATAGTCGTATATATTGCGTATATAGTTTTATTGAAAATATATATACATTGTATCGTATATCATTCATATTCGTACAAGGTATACCGTATAATATTCATAGTTGTACTATAAATATCGTATATTAATAATATTTTACGTCTATGTATCGCATATTAATCATACTCGTACTAGATATATCGTATATTAATCATATTCTAAAGTTTATATATTCCGTAAATCGTTCATTCAAACGTAGAGATGTCGAACTTCATTTTTCTAGTTGTTACGTTGTAAACATTATTTTATTTTGTTAGCGAAGACAGGCACACCACTGTTAGGTTAATTAAACAAAACCTAAAACAACAATGATGTAATCAACACGCCTGTAATCCTAAATACAAGGAACACGCCTGTAATCCTAGGTACAGGGAACACGCCTGTAATCCTAGGTACAGGGAACTAGCATGGTATCACATGTTGTAGACGTATGTGTGTTTGAAGTGTGAATTTTACTGATACATTTGTTATATAGATACATAAAATACCATACATGTTATAACATATGTAATAAATTAATGCGTATTCATGTTACATAGGTGCATGCTTGCTAATTGTATTGATTGTATATCTGTGTGCTGTAAAGTGCTTTAGAGTGACTTATTCTAGCTAGATAGGGCGCTTTATGCAATGTTGTACTTAATTACTATTATTTATATTACTGGTGTGGAAAGACGTTGTTCAGACGAAAACTGTATACTGACAGTATTCATTTCCACAGACTAAAATAAATTATGAGTTATACATGAATAGCTATGTGTATATAAACATATAATATAATATAAAATAATATTAAACATGTTGTATAATACCCGTATAATAACCAAGACTAATAATTGTATTCTAAAGTCATTGTATGACGACATGATTGTTTGTAATCATAATAGCTGTAACTGGCGGTGCCAAGTTAAAAACTTACTAATGTCTAGATGTTTTGGTGATGTTTGGTTAAATCAAAATGTTGTTTACGAAAAAGTATTTTTACATAATTTCAAACAACGTCTCACTGACAACTTTCTTCAATCAATGAACGAGTTTGTGGAAAACTCTTCTGAATGTTATCTGTACAAATTCTTGCTCGACTCGTTTACCTTACAATATTATTTAACAAAATCAATTCCTGTCGTTTATCTTAGGCTTATTTCCAAGTTTCGAATGTCATCCCATCGTTTATGCATAGAAGAAGGCAGATATTGTAATACCCCAAGGGCCCATAGAATTTGTCTACATTGTAACCAAAATCAAATAGAAGATGAATTTCATTTCATTTTAGTTTGTCCTCTATACGCAACTTTACGTAAAAAAATTATCAAAAAAATATTATTGCAACCGTCCGTCGTCCTATAAACTTGTACAGTTGCTAGCAGTTCGTAATAGGAAAGAACTTTGTCATTTAGGTAAATATTTACAATCAAGTTTACTATTACGCTCGACATAATGTGCATTGTTTAATTATCATGTGCATGCTTTTTCTTTTTATCTCCAGATAAAAACTGATTACTTCTTAATTCATTTGATTGAGATTCTTCCAATCTTTCAATCATGTACATTACTTCAATTAATCATCTCATTAATACTTTTCTTTTGTCATTTGTATTCTCATGTGCGTACAACTGTCCGCCATCTATCAAATCAGCTTGTCTTGTACAATGTAGGTTATGTTACATGTTATTCAATATTTGTGTAATGTTTTCGACACCCTTATTGTACATGTACACATTAATTACTCTGTATTATGCTGTAATGCTTATGGGCCGTAAGGCTGAAAGTGAATAAACAATACAATACCCGTTAAGGACGCTCCTGTTTGTATGTGTGTTTGTATTACATATTTAAGTGCTTGTGTAAGACGTACCTGTATCAATTATTGCACATGGTATACCATGGGACTCACCTGTGTATGAAGTGTAGGACACACCTGTATATGTATACGTATGTCCCCTAGGTTTTTGTAGTGTTTGACTTACCTGTGTATGTATATGTAAGTCCCGTAGGTTTATGTAGTGCCTGACAGTCGTGGAGGTAGGAACACAGCAACAGTAGATGATAAATCAATACATAATACAGATTACAGATATACTTTACACCATACATATTCCTGAAGTCAGTCTCACATCCTCTACAGAGTGTCATCTAACATTCACCCCTGTTATACTGGTCAGTTCACAATAAACGGACTTAGTTTAGCCAGTGTGCATAGCCGTCCTATTCAAACCGGTTCCATTAGTCCACATAGCGTTTTACCTGCCGCTTCGCTCTACTCTATGACAATATAATGTACACGGATCTAAAAATAAACATGCTTTCATATAGTCGGGTCGATACCCACAGACTGTGTAGCTTTGTATTGTTAATACTATCACGCAGCCATCCGACTCATTCTCACTCATTACTCTATAAAACTCTTTTCGTTAATTCAACATATGTTTCTGAACAATTTAACATTGCCATTGAAAAGTATGATGCTTTTTTATGTGATTGTATATGTCATATACATATTGAAAGGTAGGGTCAACGCCTATGGAGATTTAACATTAGCGTCGGCCCCCGCTCGGAATTTCGAAACAAGATAAATCCAAAAAGGTATGGGTATAGGAAACTTAAATCAGGAACAGTTAGTTTCAGATTTCATTTTATGATAAATAGGACCTGTTTCACTTACACCTGTGTGGGTGTTAAAGGTGCGGTAATATAATTCCTCCTAGAGCATTTCAGTGACACAATTACTCTAAACGTATATTATCATCTGTGCAACATATTCCAGCTGTTTATTTGATACCGAATATTACACGATTTCAAGAATGAATTGTTCATTTTATTGAAGATTTAAGCAAAAACGTATGTGAAATTTCATTACTAATGAGAGAAAATTTCCATTTTAGACACGTTAATTTACATCGTTCTAAAACAGTCTATTTTTCATCTTTGCTTAAAAGTTGACTACCAATAATATCTTTCAACATCTGGAATTTCAAAAACATTGACAACCGGTAATTTTTTCATATAACACTTTTGATTAAAAATATGAAAAAACATGGCTTTTTTTCACTTTTCCTTCAACTTGTGTTTCTAAGGTCCTTGGGTCTTGATATTTGGCAAGTAGGTTGTCCATGTGAATGGATTTAAGTTTTGTAAACGCTGATGACCTTGATCTTCGTTCAAGGTCACACAAATCAATTTGCTAAAAAAAATGTTTGCATGGGGAGTCTGACAAGGATATATTTTCTTGCTTTATTTGTTTAGAGTTAACGATATAAAATAATGTGAAAAGGCAATAGACAAAATAAAATAATAACTAGAACTGTACGCCAAAGGTTACCTTATACCCCCGCTCCTATATAAACCAGAACTGTAAGCTAAAGGTTTACTAAGGCAAAGCATTGCAAAGCAATCCATAGTCTCCTATCTTTAATAACATAAGTATATAGGTCACTGACATACTTCCTGAACTCCCTCCCCATACCAAAACATACTTGCATACCAAATCTTGTTAGCCCAGATGAACCAGTTTTGCTGAAATCGTCCTAGTAGTAAAGGAAGAGTTGTCAAAACAAAGATTTTTAACAAAGGGCCATAACTCTTTAAAAATGATCGAAATGAAAACATTCTACTCTGATGCACGACATCAGGGGGTGATTACCATATCTGTAAATTTTCATTGAAATCAGCCCAGTAGCTTATGAGGCAGACAAAGTGTTTTTTAACAAAGGGCCATAACTCCTTTTAAAGGGTCGGAATGAAAACGTACTACTTGGATACACAATGTCAGGGGACAGTTACCATATCTGTAAACTTCCGTTGAAATTGTCGCCATAGTCATGGAGGAGTTGTCTCGACAAGAGTTTTTCAACATAGGGCAATTTCTCCGTAGAAACGGGTCAGATTGAAAAAAAAACCTGGATGTACAACACACAGGTAGTAGTAATCATATCTGAAAACTTTCGTAAATATTTACCCCTAAGTTTTGGAGGACATGTCCGGACAACGATTTTGCAACAAAGTGACATTACTTTGTAAAATAAAGGTCAGAATGAAAAAGAAATACCTGGATGCACAATTTCATATATTGGTATTATATCTGGAAAGTTTCGTTGAAATTGGTCCATTACTTTAGAAGGAGTCGTTCGGACAAACTTTTTCTACGGACGTACAGACGGACAGACAAGCTGATTCCAGTATAACCCACTAACTTCGTTGCGGGAGTATACTTAAGTGTATAATAGTTTTACTATTAAGATTATTTTATTGCTTTTATATAACTGCATATTTTTGTCTATAACACAATCTCAACCTTAAGTAGTTTTCCAGAGGAAAGATTACTTCGGCGAATACATATTCATTAGTTATTACTGCTGTACCTAACTTTAAAACATGTGTAATATAAGTGTTTTGGTATAATACGAAAACAGAAAATGTATCGGTATTTACCATGATAAACATTGATAATAAAAATCTCCATGATTATGTGAAATTGGCCTTTGATCATGTTTGGCATGCTAAAAAGGTACTTTACCGGTTGTTATTACATAAAAATGATTCTGTAGACAGAATATATATATGGAAAGTTTTTAAAGAAGTTTAAAATATAGACTACCATTGTAACTAGATATAGGCAAGTTGACAATGTTGGTTACATTTTAAATTTAGAAAATTTTGCATGTTTTTCTAATTAAAAGTATCACTACGATTTCTTCATGTATACCAATATGACATATTTAGTATTTTGTTAGGACACCCCCGTCACTCAACCTGGTGTTATGCAAGGAAGTCCACTACGGTTATCTGCAGTAATTATGAATAATCATTTATGCAGTTTTTGATCATTTTTATGTATCTACATATGGCAAAAGAATAAAAGAAATCAAAGTGGGGGCCAAATGTGTGATCCACCTTTATAATTAACACAATGTCTTTTACTAACAGGAGGCCACGTGGAAGATAAGCCTATGGCTGAACATGTGTTTATCCTCAATAAAGAATGTCTTTTAAACATGACGTTTTAATTCTCTTGACTTTGGTAGCGCTGATGCGTTCTAAATGGACAAAATGACCGTATGATGCTATACTAATATGTGCTTCTTTCGTCCTATTTCTAGTCAGGAACATATAAGAACAACTATAAATATTAGTCTCTATTAATTATTATATTACAACACTTTGCTAGGTAAAAGGAACAGTTACACATATCAGCATTATAATAACACTTTTAGTCAGGTAAAAGGCACAGCTACACATATCAACATCATAATAACACTTTAAATCAGGTAAAAGGCACAGTTACACATATCAACATTGTAATAACACTTTTAGTCAGGTAAAAGGCACAGCTACACATATCAACATTATAATAACACTTTTAGTCAGGTAAAAGGCACAGCTACACATATCAACAT